CAATAAATTTAATCGAAAGATTTGACGGAAACGCATTTTCCGAACGAATCACAAGAAATCAGCCCCAGTCAGTCAGTTTAGCACTCCCAAGGGACTTCACGGGGGATGATGATTATCCTTGAACTGAATGTGGGAAGTGATAAAAAATATAGAGGGCAAAAGTGGCGAGTTTTACCGACTACCTCGCAAATCAACGTGACCAGAGAAGAGATGAAATGTTCCCAAGTGGATTAAAAGTGCTACAACGTAGTTTTGTTGGAATCCTATTAGGCAGCTTACGGAAAAAAAATTCTTGAAAGGCTTCGGAAATCTCGCCTACCCGCCATTCGTAGAGGGGCGAGTTTTTATGCGGTTCCTCATTATCGTGCTGATGAAGAGGGATTACGGCTCCGTCGAGGGGGACTTCGTCATTTACTTGAAGGACAAGAAAAACCATCTCTACAATCTAGCATATGCATTCCTAGTGTAACATTGTGGTTATCAATGGGGTACATGGTAATTTGAAAAGCCGCATGGATCTGACAGCTCTTATCAATTACTGGACTCGTCTACTCGAGCATTTGGTCGGAAAAAAACTTGAACAATCAAATTCGCGTGCTTTTTGACGATTTTGTCAGACTTTTCAAACTGTACATGAAAACTTTGATTGCTCAACTTAAATACGTGTGAAAAACTATTTATAAATTTGAGACGGTTGATTTAAGTCGTTGTAGAAAGAAAATGATGAGGATGAATGAAAACCGCGTCATGCCGCTACCACGTTGGTACTGGATTTCTTATTCAATTTCTGAGTGGGGAGGAGGTGGTATAGTGCAAGTAACACGCTTATAACGGGATCGCTTGGTGGTCAAACTCCGGATTGGCTCCCGCCCAGGCCAACCAAACTTTCTACCCTCCGGGGGCGGTAAACGGCCACCCCATCAGACTTGCCTGAGAGGATGGAACAGTGACTGGTAAGATCGGCTGGCCCCGCAAGTCACTGTATCGCATTCAGTAAACCGCTGTGTTTCCAAAAGGAAGTAGATTGCATCCACATCTCAAAAAAGGGACTGGTTGAGCGCCGACTACATATCCTTCGATTCGCACGAATTTGGGAAGAACATAGGACTGTGAAGCGTCCTAAAAAAGGCAAAAGCATAAATAAGCCCAGACGGGACTGATCTCTCATTATGGGGGCCAGATAGGAGAAGCACATGATCGCCTAACATGTCGCCACGTACGTCGAGGGACATCTCAATCAGTCACGTCCAGCCGCTGGGGTAAATTTCTGGAGACTAGCGACCCTACCCTAATTCCCTTGTTTAGGGAGGGGGAGGGGGTAGAGAGATAGAAATTTTTTCCTAATGCCGGGAATTTCTCCCAAAGGCGAATACTCCCTCCATCCCCCTCTTTTACACATAACAAACAAATACGAATTCTCAACAACGAGCGAGTGCGACCTCCCTCCCAACAAATACGACCCTCGCTCTTATAGCTTCTGTGAAACAAGAAAAATCAACTATTAAAAAAATTTTCTCAGACCAAATACTTGCAAATACTACCAATCAAATACTTGCAGTACAGATTTGCAGTTCCTTTTGAATGTGAAATAGTCTCTGGGATAGACAATAGGAGGCAACCATAGCACAAGTAAGTGTTTTTATGCTCCCGAGCAGGTCTAGTACCAATCAATACCAATCAAATAACCCACGAAGGATGGCGGGAGCTCCGATATTTCACTCCCAAGCAGCGGACGCGTAATTGATGCCACTTGCCACTGAACTACCTCCGATACCAAACTACATAATATTCCCAGCTAGTGCTCCTAATACTGTCGGTTCGAAGGAGAATAAAAAAAATTAAGTATATAAATATAGAAAAGGAGTAAATGAATTGCGCTACTGTAGCTGAAGCCTCACTTACAATAAAGTGTGGACTAGCGGCTGCCTTAACCAAATCGGGATGATTGTACCCGAGCGGAAGAGACGAAATCTGCGTGTAGATGTCAAGGAGAGTGTTTCCTGAAAAAAATCGCGTTTGTCAGTGCCTCTCTGGAGTGACTGATTGTTGGCTCACCATCGGCATCGACCATATAATTTCCAAACGATTTCTCGAAATCCACGAATATACGCACGGATGTCGTTTGCTGAAATTGGTAGGCTTCATGCTGAGGCGAGAAATGCCAGTTTCAAAGGTTCAGAACTTATTTAGAATTTGCAGCGATTCCATGCTGCAACTATTGACATTTCAATCACATTATACAATAGCAGGGCCATGCATTTCAATGAAGTAATCCGAGCTGCATTCTTTTCCTCACATAAGAGAAAAACTAAGTGCTCATTCAGGAGCTTTCGCGTAGTTCCTGACGTCATTCCGGAATGAATGGAGAGTACAATGAGCGCAGTGAAGGATGATTTTCCTCAGTTCTCGAGCCAAGTGTAGGCAAAAATCCCACCGGCATTTGGAATTCCATCTTTCTGGTCAGAAAAATTTCTAACCAGACTTTATTCTGCCCTATGAAATTTTTTTCTGCCTCCTATTGTGGCAGTTGTGAAGCATGGCCACTCACATCTCTCGTAGTTATGCTTCTGATGGAAATATATTCAAGTTTAACTTAACAGACTGTAGAATTTGTATGGTAGTTATGCGCCAGTACAGTGAGAACCTTTTTGCAGTACAACTCCATTTGCGAAGATTCTGGAGAATATATGGTCGACTGCAGCAGTGGGGCACTATCTACTTTTTACTTGCCTCACCCACTGAATTTCAGGCCGTATTTTGATCGGAATTCTTTCCATCGATAGATTTAGCCAAAAATCTGCCATCAGGGGCACTCTGAGCCATTGAGCACGAATATCGCATCAGCTTGAACAGAAAACGCCTGGCGCCAGCACAGCAAGCCAGCTTGGCATCGGCACACGTACCGGACCTTGTTCGCGACGAGCAAATATATTGTAGAAGGGTCAAGCCCACATCTGAAGGGATCGTCGGCACATCTGGTGTTTTTAGGGGTTTTGTCGTCGACGCGCTGCGGCTCGAGTGCTAAGCTATTTTGGGCCAAGTGGATGAGGTATTCATGTTTTGAGTGTCAAACAATCCCACAAGACGAAACTGCATAAGTTATCACCAAAGGAAAATTTCGATCGAATTTTGGCTTGAATTTCAGAGTATGGGTAATATAGTGTGGGTACTGATCATGAGCGGTGGCATCGCCGGAGCATCTACAAGGACATAGCACAGTGAAAACTATGGAGTCTACTATGAGGCAAACGGCTGGGAAAGTACATGATCGCTGAAAGTTTACAGTTGGGCAGTTCTGGAGCCTACGGATTGTTTGCACACGCTTGTAGAACAAATAGAACAAATAGACTAATTGAGAGGGTTCGGCTTTGCATGCAAAAAGAGAGGGCTTCATATGAAGTTTAGAGTTATAGCTTGTCCCAAAAGTTCGTGAACATTTTTTTGAATCTCGTATTAGATTCTTCATTAGCAATTTTTCATCAATATCTAAATAAGGCAAACGTTGTGGCTCCAACCACGTTGTGGCTTGGTAGAGATTCATATAGCGAAGTGTGTCGAAAATGATGAATTTCAATTACCGTTTTGGATATGAGAACAGCGACTGCGAGGGAAGCAGCTGTGAACTTATTCAAAGGCAGTTGGCACGATGGTTTCCTACTTAGCCTAAAATGCTAGTAGGGCGCTGTATAGTGGGGAAATGGCGAAAGAACGGAGTGAAACGGTCAAAATCCTGCGAAGAAAAAGCCTCCGTTCTCAGTGACTTGTAAATCGATTTCGGACGAGTTTCCCGTAGGCATCTTACCAATCACCGCTACCGAAGATACGGCTGCATATGTGTACCATGTATGCATGCAGCATCACGGCCGCTTCATACCAATCCCTTCGCTTCATAATTTGCTTAGCAAATGAATGAATACGAGCGTCAGGAACGGTCGTCCATTTGTGGGCGGGCGGGCGTGGCAGGCGTTTGGGGCGTAAGGTTGTGGCTTGATAGGGCCCCTGTAAAGGCACCTTCCTCGAGGCAACCGCCATGCAGCGCCTGCCCAGGGGTTCGCGGATCTGTCCTGGACAGGAGAATTGCATTCTGTGTCTTGGAGGATTATCGTGCCAAACTTGCCCCTTAACACACTTTCCAGACCACATAACTGGATCTCGAAATGGCTAAGGGAAGATCTAATACGAGATTCAAAAAAATGTTCACGAACTTTTGGGATAAGCTAATAACTCTAAACTCCATATGAAGCCCTCTCTTTTTACATGCAAAGTCCGAACCCTCTCAATTAGTCTATTTGTTCTATTTGTTCTACAAGCGTGTGCAAACAATCCGTAGGCTCCCAGAACTGCCCAATGTACTTTCCCAGCTGCCTTTCTGGGCACAGAACCAAGAAGCTTCTGGAAGCAAGGCAACCACTCATTGCGTGGTGGTTGGCAACAAGTTGCCAATGAAGGTAACATATATATTAATGATCAAAATTCTCACTGGGAATAAACTTTACTCGAAAAAAATGTTTGAAATTTCACGAACTCTTGGGACAACCTAATCTATGAAGTGTTTCGAAAATAGGAAGGAAGCACATGACTGGCCCCACTAAATGGACTCTCTCTGCTCCGTTTTTCTCCATTTGTTTTCGGCTGTCAGTTTACTTAAATAACTTCCAGAGATGTTTGCTTGTTCAACCCAGCGATGTACTCAGCTAACTGCGATGTGTCTACCTCCTGGGCAGCAAACAAATGGACAGCATTACGATTCCTTTCCTACAGATATGTTTTGGCGACCAGTTTTAGACATGGCGCCGACTTCGAACAGTTAAGATTAGGTGCACCCGTTGACCTCTGGCCAATTGCCAGTTTACGTGGCTGTTGTCTGCTAATGTTGCCCCGAAGGTGCAGACAGTGGTGTGATCAGTGTGTAACAGCCCGAAAGAAACAGAAAGCATAGTGGTGGTGAGTAATTGAACTCTGCCATTAAGAAGCCAGGGAGCCAAATGGATACGCATAAATGTGGGAGAGCGAGTCCCTGAAGAGCATTTTCTCTAATGGAAACCCATGAAGCCTACGAACACTTGAAATCCCAGCAGGTTATTGATCTGTTGGGAGGGTTTTGAGATAAACATGGGTGCTAAAAGTCACGCTTGGGCATGTGCAGTCTTGAAAACTGAACCACACTCATTGAAGCAGATTTTAGCAAGAAGATATGAGTAAACTCATGTTTGCCAACGCGCTTATGAGCCTTCATTAACCCTGATGTTCTCAGTTTGCAACTCGACTTGGTACTTACTGAAGCGAAGATAACGAATAATAGTCAATAGGAAAATCACTAACATGCAATGGATCCATCTTCTTTTTGATTTCCATCGATGCGGGTCCCGGCACTTTGGTTTTCAGTGCACGTGATGGCGCTGCAGAGGGGCTCACACGTAGCAATTGTGGCTACATTTCGCACTAAAATTATGAGAAGGCACTTTCGTAAATGATCAGGTCACAAGATATTTTCCCCAACCATGCAGATCAAAGAAGAGCAACCAAATGGATTGATTCAGTTAGTCGAGGAAATCCGCAAAGAAGAACTTCTAGGCATTAAGATCTGCAGTTTTCTCTCTTAAGAACATGAATTTTCCTCCTCCAGAAAATTTCCAAGGAAACCTATGCATTTCCTAGCAGGCATTATAATCTATCAATTTTATTTTTTAAGAAAATGGGTCTCTTCAAAAGGGGCACAAGAATCCTGTTTGTCGTGCGGGGATTAAATGGAATCTAAACACCATTCTCAACGCCTTTCTCGCAAAATTTGATGTTTGGCCACCATTTGTTCTAAATGATGAGTGATCAGGGCACGTGGAGAAATCGATTCGCTCTTATCGCGAAAAAACGCAGCGGAGGCCTTCTGTGGTTGTATTTCACGCTAGTCGTAGTTGTCAACGAAAATATTAATATTAATGTGCGGAGACCGTCAAAGAAAGAAAAAAAAAGCGAGAAATATCAGAGATCTTTCGTGAAGAATTGGGAAGTATTAGTATAGTATGAACTGACCAGGGAGTGCAACTTGCGCCTGTCGAGCGGTCTCGCAAAACATAGCTAAATTGCTTGCCACCCGTTCCGTACCGCCCACCCCTGCCCAACCGCGCCCCTCTCCACTGAATTTCCTTTCCTTTCTCTCCTCACTGCTATGACAGCATACATCCTGAGCTAGTAGTCTACTTCGTTGTCAAATGAGTTACATACAAAAGAAGGAAAATGAACTGAGGATACAGCAAAAGGGCCGAAGACTCGGTATTTCATCAGCTTACATTAGGGCACCCATGAGCGATTACTCCACTCCACTTTGGGTGTTGTCTGGCGAGTGTGTCCGAGAGGAAATTCATCTCAGCCGTTCATTGTTACATTTCACCACTTCTCCGTATCTTGGTAATCCCAAGGTCTTGATCCTATACCCTATCGATCTTGGAGGAACATTCATCACTTTTAGTGGGCACTTGGCTGTTCTCCGAATTGCCAACAGGAGATAGGCGATGCGGCGTTAAACAAAACCTGCTGGAAAGCACACCCAGCTTACCACTTCGATTTCCATGAAAGAATGTTCTGCATTGCTTTTGATTTTAAGTCAATGACTGGGGCGGTTACCGGGTGGAACCTGTCATGAATGGTCTCAACAAAAAGGGCATCAATAAAATGTATGCATAACAAGCTCATTGGCACCTCATCCACGCACTAGCCAATCAGTCTTTTTGTTTTAAACTCGAAGTCGACAGCATATTCAGCCTGTAAGCCAACCACCATCTGGACTATACAAGAGAGTTTCGTACTAGATTCACCAACGTGTTTCCTATGCAGGTGCATGCGGTGCGCCATAAATATGGTAACACAGTAACGGTGGCACAAAACCAGTAAATCGTGGTGAACGCTGTACCCCTTGAAAAACGACTCATCTTGGGTGGTGCAACAAACAGGTTGTCGGTTTGGCTACCTTCTGCACGAATTACAGCTCGTAAATGCTTGAATAGCCTTCTAGTGCAACAATTAAGTGCTTCTGAGTAACATCATATAGGTGCCCTTCTGCGACTACCTCAGAACTTCATCTTTTGTACTGAAGTTCAAGCTTTCTTCTCTGGGATCGATCCTATGCACAAGACTCAAGCTGGTATCCCCGCACTAACGCTAGGTAAGCAAATGAAGGATAACTTTGAGAACGCTGTTCGTGGCAGAGACTCTAGTATCGCTCTCCTTTTTGAGGCTTGAGGCTCATGCACTCCGCTGAACGATTCAAACGTTTCCACGTTGTCCCTTGTTGTAACCTTGGCATGGTGTCGAATATTTAGTTTACTTCTGTCCTTAGTAATCCTACTAATATACAGCGACAGCTAGGCTCTCCACGGTGGGACATTCGGTAGTTGGCTCTACGGTTGTTTTCATTAACATACGCGACACGGACCGTCGGAAACGCTACAGTTGGGA